AAAACTCGTTAATTTCGCAGAAGATTTTGAAATCTAAGACAAATAGAAGTACATTTTTTTTCTTGCTACCTTGAGTTCGTACACATAGCACTTACAAAGGTTTCTTGAAGCTCTTCAAAGAAAAAACGTTTACGATGAATGCAAAGACAATTTACAAGTGCACCGTAAAACATGATATGACACGACGTGGATGAAATCAAACTAGCGTGATCAATATGCAACGCAAATGAGCAAGAAAAATGGTTTTTTCACCCAATGATTCAACTATGCTAAAAAAAAGCTGTGTATGAAGACATTTAAAACCATCTTAGGCAATGCAGAACGTAAATTTGACAGCTGCAGATAAGACAAACAAAAAGCTGCAAAAGTCATGATTTATCTGATTTTTGATTGAGAGTGCACTGAGCATTCGTCACTAAAGTCTAAGAATGATTGCAACGTAAAAGACATGAACAGAACAATGATCTGATGTGAGAAACTAATCGCAAATAATTATTACGCAAAGTTACGACTTCCTCGATGACGCTTTCGAAGTAGAGGTGCATTACGCGAACAAACTTTGAAAAGGGCAAAGAAAGTTCGCATTTAGTGGAACATTTGCCATGTTACACTAAATGTAAACTAATTCACATTTACAAAAGAGATAGTAGCAAAAATACGGAATTCAAAAATACATTAGAATCAAAGCGCTAGGTAAAAACCTCTAATCGTAAGAACTTCTAAATGAGCAAAGGGGAATTGATGCTGATAGATCGGTATACTACAGAATTACTGTTGCGCTGCTTGCGTCATGTATGTATTTCCTTTGAAAACTGGAAAACAGCCAAATGATGAAAGCATATCAGTATTTTTTTTCTCAATGGGATTACGGAAAGAAGTTGATGAGCGATACGTTCGATTTGCAAAAATATTCTTTATATTGATGCTCAATGCAACCTTTACTACTTGAACATTTCGATATTTATACAGTTTTTTTATAAACCAGAAAACATATGACGAAGAATAAAATTATTTAGACAAGGTGGCACAGGAAAGGAAATATTCTAAGTATAGGAAACGCAGCCCTGAGGAACTAGTAAATGAAGTGGTATTCTTTAGAGTGAACTATTTAGCTCACAAGATGCATTTACTGTGGAATGACTTTAGAAGAAGGCGACTGCTTCAACGGGAATTCCAACATCAACACAATTCATACCTTCTTTCCAACTTGCCATGTCATCAATACAAAATTTTCCTAAAATGCCACATAATCCCACCGTTTGTTTCTAAAAATGCAACAGTTGAATGGCCATCATATTTCGGACATTGTCATTGGAGAGTGATCTGGCTGTTGCTGCTAGAACGCTAAATGGCATGTCACCATTTGTTTCGAGTAGAAGAAATTGTAGGTTCATTTTTCCTACTTCTCTAATTACTTCAAATTTCCCCGTTTCCTTGTGCCACCTTTACTTGATTTATGCCCTCACCGGATCGCTTTTGATGTGCTGAAATGCTCCAGCAACGTGTGTAGCACCGTAGATCAGAGCAACAAGTGAAATGATCGTCTGAGCTAAAACGTCGGCGGGTAGTGAGATAAAGGGTTGCTCAGTAAGACGTAGGTATGAACGGTGCTGAAAGAAGCAAAATGACATTTGTTAGAAAAAAACTTCAATGTGCAAAAGATACCTGAGCAGCTGAGTATGCGCAGTGAAGAAGACTAGCAAGTGATGCGAGTGTGATCACGTTGTAGAAGGTTTTGGACATGGCCAAACAACGGCTTCCAAGTAGCCGACGTAGCCTATCTGAATTCAATTCTAATAGATTGTTCTTAATGCATCGATTGGATTTGATGTAAAAAATAAATTGACACGTCGTTTGCGCTTATGTACGTGGTGCAAAGCAACACCATTGTCTACGGAAAAAGAGCACTGAGGGACCCCCAGAGGGTTAATGCTGTTTTTCCGAAGAAAATCTTTCTTGCCGATATATTCCAACTCGTTGCGGATCCGTCGCGAGTAGAGATGAGAAATTTGATATCTGATTTCTTTTTTTTCCGAATGTTTTCGTCGAACACGTTGAATATATGATCATAAATAAAGTGCAGGTAAGGCTTT